CCCCAAAACCCCAAAACCCCAAAACCCCAATGCTAGAATTTACAATATATGAGTAATTGTAAACACTCTAAATGAATTAAATAATCAACAACATTATCTCTGACTCAGAATATATTTTTCTAAACAAAGAACTTCCTGAGACTGAGAATCTACCAGACCACTGTGCCAATGATAATTAAGATCTAGATGGAGACAAAGAGGACGAAGTTTGAAGAGAACTTCTCGTACTCCTTCTAATGCTCGGTTTGTCTTTCGAACTGACGTCTCTAATCTTAAAGAATAGTTAATGCCTTCTTTTGCAATGTATCAATTTCAATATCTACCTTATCAATATGATCCTTGGTGACATAGTTAGAGAATGGATTCAAACCTGGGTTGTTCTTCAATTCCTCTACCTCCTTAGTGGTTGGAGCATAATTAGCTTCAATTTACAAACTGACTTCATACTTCATGTTTGGATCTCTAATAAACAACGCCTTAGAAGCTCTCACACAAATTCTATGCAGTCCCTAAGTTTTAAGAATCTTTTAGTAACCTTTGTGAGTTTCCTGTTGCAAAGTATATTTTTCTATTTAAATTCCATTCGGATCAAATATCGTTATCTTGATGCCACTCTTAGACCCTGGAGTAATCAATGGAGCAATGTTTGCAAATACCTCAACAAACAAATCTAATATCTATATTGCGAATCATTCAATAACTTGTAATAAACTTACAGTTCCTTCTGCTAGGTCGTCTTTAAAACATTTCATTTAGTTGTTGCCAAGAGTGAAACTAATTGGACCACTCTATACCAGAGTAAAGAGCGTCAGACTGAGTAAAGTGAGGACTCCTCTCATTATTTTCATATTTAAAATTATAGTTTTAAACATGACATTAATTATAAAGTATTTTAATAAACTTTTAACTATAGCAGCTGATGATGCTACTGCTCTTAATAAAAAAGTTGATTATGATTTTATAAATTTCAAATTTGTATTATCAACTATCTATTTATCGAATATCTTCTTATTAGGATTTGAAATTGATAATTTAAATTTACAAGTCTTAGATAAAAATGGATCACCAAAAGAATAATCCCTCAGTCAAACTTCACCAAGCCCCAGGTAAGCATTTACAAGTTAATTATACTATTAGGTGGATCAAGCAGCTTCAGTTTCGGATGGGGACAAGATGAGCCAAAAGAAGTTCCAAAGAACAAGCAACCACCCCCTAAGATTGAAGATGTCTAAGGTGTGCCTCAAAAGATTGCTCAAGATCTACCACAAGATGCATTAGCTAAGAACTCAGCTGGTTACCAAGTGAGAAACCAACAGTACTCTGCTGGTTTATGGGACAACACTGAGGAGGAGAAGCATTCATCAGTTAAGCTTCACCAAGCCCCAGGTGGATAGAGCAATTTCTCACTCGGAAATGACACTGAGGATAGATTCAAAACTAGCAATCAGTTTAGTGCTCAAAACAATCAAGTTGCTGGCTTCAGAGGATAACAACAATCCTCTATGCAAGAATCTATGCAGTAGGACACCCAACAGATAGGTGCTGTGAAATCATCAGTCAGAGTTCACAACCCACCCGGTGGAAGAAGTCAGATTCAATTCTGAGAGATCTTAATTTGTGAAAAATGATGATAGCAATTCTGATGGTGTTGGGTTCTTTTATGTTTGATATTATTAATGTGATATCAGTTCTTAGTAATTGCTTAAAATTTGAAACTACTTGTGTTAATACTACTTTATTAATCACTCCATTTCTAGAATTTTCATTTCATTGATAATTCATCTACATGGGGTTTTGGGGTTTTGGGGTTTTGGGG